TTAGCGTAACTTGTCCACTATTACTTATTAAAGTGCAGGCCATATGGCTAGATTCTTAAGTTCTGATAAAAGTTTTATGAGAGATCTATTTGCTTAAAAAAATTTCTACTTTGGTTCGCTACCACTAGAAAGAATTATTTTCAAAATCCTCATAAGTTGGAGGGTATGCAATAATCTATTATTAGTTATATTTTTGACTCATGAATATATTTAAGTTCCTATATTCAGCAAGTTCTTAAAGAGAATTATGGAAAAGAACTTCAAACTGAAATATTTCATGTATAACTTAATTCAACTACGCCATCTTTTTACAACTGTAATACATTACATATTACACTACTTTAATCCATATGAAAATTAATTCTTATCCTAATCAATTCTCTTCCTATATGAAAATTATTTCTCATCCATCTTCATCGATTTTTTAACTGTCTATTTTTTTTAATAGTATAACCAATAAAAAGCGTTTTACTTATGTTTCTTGTTTTATTTATTTTCAGAAAATAGTTAACTATTATGTTTTTAAAATACCTTTCAGTTTGTGGAGGAAATTTCACTCAATCAAGTGGTGAAATATTTTCGCCAAACTATCCTAATTCCTATGCCAATTCCCTTTCTTGTATTTACGTTATTGGGAAAGAAGGACAGTATATCTCTTTATCATTTGATGATTACTTTAGCCTTGAAGGTAAGTAATGATAATAATTTTCGCTTTTTTTTTACCAATTAAAACATATTTTCTTAGTTTATCTAGTCCATTAGAAATATGCAGTTTCCGTACAAAAAGTTCTGTGAATAATCCCTGTGATACCACTAAGAGGCATTACATATTACCTAGCTTTTAAATTTCCGTTTACTCATATTTCATTCATATCGTCATTCATTCCTAATCCCTCTTTAAAAAATAAATCATTTAATTAATTTTAATTCAATTTTTTCAAAGAGCGAATGCAAATATTTTTATTTTCAATAAATGTAACGGTTAACTTTTTATTTCAATGCAAATGTATAACTAATTATTATTCAATGTCACGACAACTGAGCATCAAAATCTATTTTTAACCTTTTTTTCTTGAACCACAAATTTATTAATTTGAAATTTAAACAATTTGAGATGGTCTAAATCGATTTTGGTGTTTAACTAAGTTCTAAATTGTGATAATTACTAGAAATACGCAAACTCAAATTTTATTTTAATGCGTTTTTATTGTGAACAATTCTGTTCCTTCAATTAATGTAAAAACCGATGATTCTGTTTATAGGTCATGGGACGAAGCATCGAAATTTAGCTAAAAAACATCTTCCATTTGCCGACTCAGCGAATTTTTAATGCAATGAAATTTAATTGTACTTGTTAACTAAAAAATACAAAGTTCACCGAAAACTATTTGCACATTAACATTTTGTACGAGGTTAAATTAGGGTTCCAAAATTCACAGCTTAAAGATACTTCAAGTGTCTCAGCTAAGCACTAAGTTTTTTAAATAGGAATCTGGTGATGAAATTCATTTGACTGGAAATGAAATTAATTTGCAAATATTGTTATTAAAAAGCAATTCAAAAATATTTCGTTGCTTGGGTTTGACTAAAATGATCATGCTTCAGCCACCATTTAAACTGCCTATTATTTGTATGTAAATTAGTTGAACCAAATGGATTATTTTTCTCAATCAGAAGTTTGGATAATTTATAATATTCATCTGTAAGCAATCTGAATCGTATTATTTAGTCACTCATCTGTACATTATTTGGTAAATGTGAAAATTACTCTGGTGCTAAAAAAATATAGTTTTCAAAGATGTATTCGTATTATTTAGTCACTCATCTGCACATTGTATGGTAAATGTGAAAACTACTCTGGTGCTAAAAATATATAGTTTTCAAAGATGTATTCGTATTATTTAGTCACTCATCTGCACATTGTATGGTAAATGTGAAAACTACTTTGGTGCTAAAAAAATATAGTTTTCAAAGATGTATTCGTATTATTTAGTCACTCATCTGCACATTGTATGGTAAATGTGAAAATTACTCTGGTGCTAAAAAAAATATAGTTTTCAAAGATGTATTCGTATTATTTAGTCACTCATCTGCACATTGTATGGTAAATGTGACAATTATTCTGGTGCTAAAAAAAATACAGTTTTCAAAGATGTATTCGTATTATTTAGTCACTCATCTGCACATTATTTGGTAAATGTGAAAATTACTCTGGTGCTAAAAAAATATAGTTTTCAAAGATGTATTCGTATAATTTAGTCACTCATCTGTACATTGTATGGTAAATGTGAAAATTATTCTGGTGCTAAAAACATATAGTTTTCAAAGATGTATTCGTATTATTTAGTCACTCATCTGCACATTGTATGGTAAATGTGAAAACTACTGAACTTGTTTTATTTTTTCTGAAGTGCATGACGACTGCTTGTTTGATAATGTTAGCATCGCTCATGGGGATGATACTAATTTCACTCAGGGACCATATTGCGGAAATCAAGCTCCAGCTCCTCGAAGCTTAGCAGGTCCAGTCATTTTAAAATTTCAAACGGACTCCAGCTATGTTGCTCATGGATTCAAAGCAAACTATAAAATCCTAGGTAAGTTCATTTATTGTTCATTCTTGATGTAACTTATACTTACACATCTTATACATCCCTCCATTCATATCATATATTTAAATAAAATTTTCTTTGCAAAATAATTCTGATCATTTTGTGTAAGTAAAGTTACACTGGGGAACAAATTTTTCAGATTTCAAATCTGAAATTAGTTTTGTTTCCAAAAGCATGATTGATGAATTTTTAGTAAAATTTAAAAGAAAGTTACTCGGATTATGAATGACTATAAATTACGATCACATAAGAGAATTAGGTTAGGAATTCAAGAGGATATGTCACTCTCCTTTTTTTCAAAAGCGATTCAAAGCGTTTAACATTTATTGTGTCGTAACATCAAAACAAATTATGATTTGGATAATTTCTTTAAAACTCTTTCTAAATCAAATGGCTGAATTTCAGTCGCTTTATTGGAATGAAAGGTTGATTATGGACGTTCTAATGGACATTAAAATAACATTGCGTTTATGGAATAAAAACAGGATCGTTATAATGTAACGTTCACTGCAATGGGAGGTCGTACAGAAGATCGTAGACTGTGCAAGGGTTCTATTTAAACTCTCTTCCAGTTTTTATAGTCATAACTATATTTAATTAGATATTGCATTATTTATTTTATATTTATATATTTGTCTTGGTTCCTAATTTTGCTTTTTTTCACACTGAATTATATAAAAAAAAAGTGGTAAGTATCCTTTTCCAACAGCTATTTACCCGATTCCGTTCAAATTTTAGGTTTTTCAAATTTCAGATCGCTCTCCTGCCGAAATTATTGAAACCATATTTTGGAGACTGTAGCATCATTTTTAGAGGGTCAAAAAATAAAGGGTTGCTTATTCAGAGGAAGTACATGTTTGTGTGTTAATTCGCAACTTAAAATATTGTCTGCACAAATTAATTTGCTTATTTAAAATAAGACCCACGAAACATTAAGATAGCATCTTAGTAAGTGAAAATTCAATCATTAGATTAAAAGTTATTAAGGTCTTCACATTTTTTTTTTAAATTTTCGCATACTGCACTATGTGTTTTCTTGAGAAAATAAATTGTATTTTTCCCTGTGTGCATTTACGTCATTCATTTCTGAATGATCTATATTACTTCAGAGATCAAACTGGTACATGTTTTTACAAACAGTTCTTTTTTTTATACTACAGATTGTGGAGCGACTTTAAGCGAACCGAGTGGATCTATCTCAACCCCTAGAAATTTCAAAGAATATCTTCCTACGATGGACTGCACTTGGCACATAGTTGCTCAGCCAAATCATGTAATAGCTCTCAGGTAATTTATTTTTCACGTTTTTTTTTTTTTTTTTTTTTTTTTTTTTTTTTTTTTTTTTTTTTTTTTTTTTTTTTTTNAAGTTTGCTTTCATATGCGTGTGAGAGGGACGAATCTGGGTACTGAAATCTTTGCCGCTTTCCCTCTAGAGTGCTCAAATTTTTACCGCAGCTCTATGCCAAACGACAATACAAATTTTCAAAGAATTGTATATATATATATATATATATATATAAGCTACATAATACAATGCTGTATAAGCTGTAAAAATATATAAATATTAGGAAACCACCTTCCCTAACAATGCGATAGGTCTGTGTGTAAAACTGAATGAAAACTATTTTAAACAAAAGAAAAGTAACATGAAATATAGAAAAAAAACCTGTTTTTAAAATATAAACGCAGATTAGATGCGATTTACCTAATACTCAAAATTCACCGATTTTGAAAAATTATTTAAAATATATCCCTAGTGTAAAGTGTAGCTTACTACAATACTTTTAGATAAAACCGTTTCTTTATATTGCATAAAACATTTATGTTTACTCATTTGTGATATCGTTTTGTTTTGAACAATTGTTTTTGTTGTTAAGTAATAAAGAATTTCAGAGCATACAAATTGAATCATTCTCGGAAATATTTTTATCCTAATTTCGTGAAAAATGTGATACAAATCGGATATCCAATTATTGTATCTCTCTCAACACTGCAGAAATGTTTTTAAAAAAATGAATAAATAAAATAAAACGAATTGAAACACAAACAGAAATGAAAGATAAAAGGATTCCATTTGAGATTATATTTGTGAAAAGAGTATTTTCTGAAATTGAAAAGCACTCTTTTCATTCGTGTATTTTACAAAAGGATGAAAAAAAAATTTTTTTAAACGTGATAGAAAATAGGAAAACATTTTAAAGTAAAGAAATTCCTTAAAACTTAATACAATAGTTTTCTTTTTCATTTCATTTCAAAATTCTAATTTGAAAAGAAAGTTTTTCTACAGTTCATATGAANTATATATATATATATATATTGTACATAAGCATATGTGTTCTTAATTATATACAACACTCTTTAAACCTAACATAGAACAAAACTTTTATCATATAAACTGTCAAACTATACAAACTACAAAACGATATCTAATGATGAACATAACAAGAAAGATAAAAGAAATAAACTAAATAAAGTAAACATGTTATTGCAGGCTATGCACTTGCGTCTGGAACATATTATGTTTATTCAAGACATTTTATTTAATTACATCTACTTCCTTGAAGAAACCGGTGTGACATAAAATTTTGAAAAAAATTAATTGTTCCTTAGTGTAATTTGTGTTTTATTCACATTGCTTAGCTTTAGTCATTTGTAGCACAAAGCATAATCTACATTTTGATAAATTCTAAAACCATCGGAAGAACTTGGCAGGAAGAAAAAAAATTCTGCTCTCAAGAATCAATGTCATTGCAATTTTGCTACCTACAATAAACGTTTCTGAAAAAAATTCAAATGTTGATAGCTATGTATTTTTTTCTTATTTGTAGTTTATTATTAATCTTCTCATCGCGAGAATATAATTAATTATGGTTTGTTTGTTTGTTTGTTTTTAGATTTACTCATTTTGACATTAGAGCAACCTATAAATGTCTTATGGAATACGTGGAAATCAGAGACGGAAACTCGACGGGCCCACTCATAGGCAGACTTTGTGGAAAAAATTCAACAGTATCGGTAAAATCGTTGGGAAATATGCTGACCATAAAATTGTACATGAAAGCTGAACATGGGGGAATTTCCGCACATTACTACAATACATTCGGTAAGCTAACACCATTCTTGTGTATTGTATGAATTTTGCTCCAGGGCGTGCTTGCTTTTATTTTGTTTTAATGCTAAATGAAAGAAAGCACATGAAAATCATTTAATATTTTCCGGGTTACTAGAACAATGTTTCATTTTCGAAGAACTGCGATGCCCTGTAAGAGTCAAAAAATTCGACTTTCAGGCATTAATAGAAAAGCAGCACATTGCGATCAATTAAAAGTTAAAAGAAGCAGACGATAATTATGGCAGTTCTTCATTGTTTCTCTTTAACGGTGTTTTTGGTGTGAAGAAGTTCAGTAACCTGTTAACGGAAAAACATTGAGAAAAAATTTTAAAAAATTGAAGTATTTAAACTTTTCCTGCATTTTTTTTCCTAATGTTTTTGTATGGAATATCATATGACGCGTGTAAAGAATTAGAATCGTCGATGTTTTTTGTAAACTTGCGAATCCCTCTAAATTTAGAATTGTTCTGGTTTCTGAGTACCAGTCCTGGTGGGCTCTCACTGATTGGTTAAAGTTAATATACTTACTCGTTGTTAATTTTCTTGTTCACTGACAATTTTAATCTTAAACATGAAACTTAAAGCAATTCTTTCCTCACCCCTTGCTTGTTGAATGGTTTAGAAAAGATATGCGGAAAATGGGAAACTGAATTGACTAAAAATGATTTTTCTGCAGCACACTTTTCTTCCCATCTTTAATAAAACTTATACGTGAAGAACTTTAACTCAAAGAAAGTTAACCCATGGATATATAATTTTAAAGAAGAAAACCTATAAATATATTTTGAAAACAAATAATATTTTTAGAAAACATAAATCTGGATCTTGTTCGGTACCTTGCCCGCTCCTATCGCGAGCCCTGTATAGGAGCAAGCCCAGGCATTGATAGGTTAATAAATAACTTTACCAAAATTTGAACAAAAAGACATCTTGAGTCGCGATGGCTCAGGGGATAAAGCGTTCGCCTTTCAATGAGGTTAACCGGAGTTCGATCCCCAATGGCTGGTCGATACGAATTCCGCATCCGACTTGCACCGACCACAGTGCAGACGTGAAATATCCTCAGTGATAGACGTATCATGGGTTAGAGTCCCCTTGCTGTCAGGCTAACCGTGGGAGGTTCTCGTGATCTTCCTCTCCATGTAACGCAAATGCGGCTTAGTTCTATCAGAAAGTCCTCCACGAAGGCAAATTTCTTCCAATACTTGGTCCAAGAAATTCTTGTCTTTCGGATTGGGTTCAAAATTACAAGGCTACGGAGTTGAACATTAGTAGTCGTAAACCCAAAAAATTGGGTCGGCTGCTCAACGACGGTTATAAAATATAAAGTAAAAAGAAATTTTGTGAAGCGCGTTGCTGTAGCGTGACATTGGCGTCCTTAACGATAGTTTACGTAAATCAGCAAAAGCGAAATACATTAATGTATATTTGTAGCGAGAGGAGAAAACTGTCTGGAGGTCAAAAATTTTAATTTTATCTTTAGTTTGGCTTCATATATTATGGTAAAAAGAAATGTTATCTATGCAATCAGCCCGTTGGAGATGAAATTTATTGGCCAGTTTGGAATTATTGAGAACCTATTAACGACTTGCCCTTCTGGCCATGGTAAATAGCTACAAACAAAATTTGCAAATATTAAACACAAAATGCTATTTTTTTTATTGTTTATCATGACAATCTGACAAAGGTGGTGAATTATGTAAGACTACGAATTGATTAAAAATAGTGGTGGTTAAAAATCTACAAAATTGAATTTATTAAACCAAGAATCACAATAATTAAGTAAATTTTGAATACATTTTCTGCAATTCCATAAAAGAGTGTACTTTTTATAGTTCTATATCATGTTTTACGCTGTCAGCCAGCTGTTTTTCGCTGCCTATGTGAAAGGTCAGTGTCATCAAGTGGTGGCAGACGCAGCCTAAATGTAATTTTATTGTCAGCCACCGGTGGCTGACGCGGCCTAAATGGAAAGTCCAATGTCAGTCACCGGTGGCTGACGCGGCGCTCAACGTGTTAATTTGGAACCTATTAATTTCCTCACGTAACCAATTAATTTGTAACACACTTACATGGCAACGTCTTATGAGACTGGAACTTCAACTGAGGAATAAAAATAGTTGTTCCCCAGTGTAATACATCTGAGGGGGAATCTATGAAAATATAATTTCTACTTCCTTGCTATTAAATGCAATTTGGAAGGAAAAAAATGAGTTCTGTTTTTTCTCGTAGGACCAGATCAAGGTTGTGGAGGTACCATAAATGCAGCATCTGGCACGATTCAATCGTTTGACGTCGATAACAATGGACTTTATGAACCGAATCTGGATTGCAATTGGTTTGTGACATCCGATAACCCTGACAAAATTTTACAGATATCATTCGAGAGATTTGACATCGATGATTCTTCCGATGGATCGTGTGAATTTGATTATTTAGAAGTATGACTTTTTAGTTTTTTTTAATATTTAATTAGAAATGATCTAATAATTAGAAAAAGAAATAATCGTACGTGAAATAATCTAAAATATTTTATTCAATTAAAAATTCAAATTTACAGCGTCAAATCTTTTTTTAGTACCATTAAAGATAGGCAGATGCTTTTTTTACATAAATATACAGCCACCTTTTAAATATTTTTCAATATTTTATCTATTTAAAAAATTTTAGCTCTAAGCTCGAATTTAGCTCGTTATGAGAAGCATGGTAGGTAGTAAGACTGAAAGCTTATATATATCAAGAAGGAAAAGAACAAAAACTGTTTGTTTGTTTTTATGTTAAGAAAAAACATTTTATTCGAGCATGTTTTAGGTACGAGTAGTTTGGTGTTTTTTTTTTTTTTTTTTTTTTTTTTTTTTTTTTTTTTTTTTTTTGCTAGACAAAAAGTAAATAATGCCTAATAAGTTGTAATTAATTTAGTAAGATTAATACTATTTAGTAAGATCTTCTCCACCCTAAAACCGGCTATAAATGAAAGTATTTTTCTATCAATTTTTATCTTGTTCCTTCTCAATTTAAGGGCTAATAATTGGAGCTGTTAGTTTAACCCTTTGACTACGAATTTTAAAAAATGATTTTTCTTTGTCCCGTTTATTATTTAAAAGGACAAAATAGGTCACAAATAAGGCAAATTTAGTATTTGGGATTTTTCTGACAAGCGGTTATCAATTTACAGGCTGGAACTTATATGTCCCGGGCCGTACTTAATGGTGGGATACATATGTCCCACCTGTGATCGACTTACTGCAAGCACATCTATCATTCCGGAAAAATTTATTATGTGGACTTTTTTTTAACATGGTATGATACAAGGTGAAGCAATCTTTTCATAACCCGACATTACACATTGGACAACTCATATTTGTTCTTTTTTCTATGTTCATTTGAGAAAATATGAATAAAATAAGAATGGACACAACAATCCCAATGAAGAATACGAGTGGGATATATCTGTCCCAATGAAGAATGCTAGTCGCATTTATCTGTCCCAGCGCAAAATCACAATGCTATTTCATGCAAGAAACTCTCTAGGGGATATTTGACACGTGAAACACGTATACTTGGTTCGACTCTACGTCTGGGACATATTACAATGAGTTTCTTAGTGCTTTTCACCCCATTAGTAATTTTTAAACTTCTGTTGGGACAAATGAGTCCCGTTAGTAGTCAAAGGGTTAAATTGATCTCATTCAAATAGTTTAGGGATGTGAAGAGTTGTTAAATAAACACTGTAGTTAGTTCGATACAGTTTTATTTAGAAATTATACTTTGCGTTTTCTTCGACATACTTCTTTACGTTTTCTACATGAACATTCTAAATTGTGTCATTATTATAAATATCATAAGAGATCGATATTAGATAGACAAATTTACAGATTTATAAATAGTTACAGGCTTTACAGATTGTAAAAATAAAAATAGCTGAAAGGAATTTTAAAAAGAGGATCTTTAAAAGTAAAAGAAATAAAACAATATAAAATACTAGATTAATGCGTCATTTATATTTTAAATAAATAAATTTAATGGCTTTGAATGGGACCTTAGAATTGTAATAATGTTATTTAACTTAACATGAAAAGCGGGGTAAATTCCCCTGGTTTAACAACCACTTAAATGCTATAAATTTTCATTCCATCCATTATAAAATTGATATATGCGTTTGATTTATCAATTATTTTGGCGATGAGGAATGTTTCAAGTTTACTTTCTAAAAACAGGAAATAAATTTTATGAGAAAAATTTATATAGTGCTATAATACAATAGAGCCTCGACTTAACGACGCTCGCTTGACTGGTAAATAACGTCTTAAATAACGAGGTTCTATATCGAGTACATGAAAATTTCAACGCGTGCAAGTTAAAACATATTTTGTTAAATACCTTAATACAACCTAAAATTTGAATGTAATTTATATATTAAAGAGAAAAAAAGCAGATTACTTTAACACTAGGTTTACGGGACGCGACATTTTGACGCATTTCGAATTTTATAAGGAAAATTACAAAATTCGTTTGCATTTTTATTTTATCTCTTGTAATGACTTTGATCCATTGATCGAGATAAATCTATATTGAAGTCTATTTTCTTCAAAAGCGTTGAAATATTGAAATTCTTTTTCTGATATACCTATCTCTACGGATATGCGTCAATTTGACACGATCGTCATTTAGACAAAATTTTGAGTAAACATGCAAACATCACATCAATAATAAATAGGAATGTACCGACAATACTTCGATTCGTTATCTCAAATAAAACAAGTGATAAACAACTGTTGCCGATAAGCAATAATAGAAAGAACAAACGCAGAATGTCAATTGATGTCAGAGTGTTAGATTTTGAAGNTGTTTATATTTATATATATCAACTTAGATTCGATGAATCAGATATTCAAATGTTATATTTACTCAAGCAAAGTGCTTGTTTTTCTATTAGCTACCACATCGACTGCTAAATTCAAAATGTTATTACTATAAATTTTCTGTAAATTTCTAGATGTATGGGATAGGGGCCGCTAAGTGGCCCAGGTGCCCAATTTTTGTAAATTTTTGTAAATAAAGTAAGTAAGTAAGTGTTGTTATATGCATTCGTTCATGCGTCAAATTGACGCGTGTTCGTCGCGATAGGTATATAAGAGACGTCCGCAAACCTAGTGTTAATGTTAAAAAAATTGAAATTTTTTACACCATTAACGATGCTGTCTTTAGAAACTTTTTTTCCAGCTGTTCGATATTAAGTTTAAAGTTTCTAACACGCTTTTTTTGTACAATTTTTGTTGGGTATTAGAAGTTGAGAGAGACTCCATTTCGTCTGTATTTTATGGAAATAGTATAAGAATATGCCCTAAATACAGTTTTTTTTTTTTTTTACATTATTTATGTAGTAAAGAGAAGGGTTCCAAGATGAAAACACGTTAAAAATTGAAAATTTTTATTCAAGAGTGACGTTAAATACGAATTTTACTGTACTTTTAAGGAACACCGGACATCTTATTTAAAAACCGTCAAATTGAAGAACTTAGTAGTTCTAGTTAAGTGCTCCTCACAGCAAGATAAAATTTTTTAAAAAAAATTAAAAAACTAATGAAAACGTTAAAATTCCCAATACAATTCAGCGTCATCAAACCGGCGTTTCTCACCTACATATCATCAGACTAGAGATCTATTTATAAAACACTAATAAAATATTGCCCAACTATAGTACAGCCAACAGTCTTTAAAAACAAAACAAACAAAAAGTAATGATAACAGTTTTATGAAGCTGCTGGAAACTTCACAGGATTTAATTTCACTCCAATCTAGAAATGTGAACATTTTTAAGATTTAGATGTATTTCTTGAAACAGAGCTTCGAGGCATCAGCCAAAATAGGCATTTCACTTAATTTTAAATATTAAATATTTCATTAATTAAACTCCCATTTATTAATTTTTAGGACTCCCATTTTTTTGATTAATTTATAAAGAGAAATAAACGCAAAAATTGTTCTTCTACAATTAATTTCCTCTTTTCTATTTCTAGTTACGTGAGGACTATGTACTTGGTAATTTAATTGGAAGGTTCTGTGGATCTAATTTACCAACAACAATTGTTACAGCAACTTCTAAAGTAAACATTCTTTTCCACACTGACGGGGAGATAAATAAACCGGGATTCAAAATGAACTTTCAGAGCTTGGATTGTAAGTGGTTTCCATTCGAAATTTTCTTTAAAATACTTCCTTTCAAAAACTTTATAAATTTGTATCTTAGGCAGGAAACAAAAAGGGTTGTAAAATCTTTGTATTTCTAGTTTAGTTCATGCTGAGCAATTTGAAATTGTATGATATTTATATTGTTTAGCATAAAGGCTACAATACCCTTCCGAGTATCCCAAACAGGCCTCTGAAACAGTCCAGGTAATTTTTTTTTGTCGTATGCCTGTTTGGGCAGTGGGGGTGCGATTGTTCCTGTTTTTCAGTGGCGCCATCTATGGCCAGGAATTCGACTTCTGCCACGCCATTCACACAACCACAACCCGTTTTAAGGGCGGGTCACATTCACACACAAAGGAGAAAGGGCATAGAACACACAGAGAGAGAAAGAAACATCCATGCCTTGCCCGAGATTCGAACCCAGAACCTTTCTGATGCAGGGACAGCTCCCTGCCCCCTACACAGGCCGGTCGGCAGTTGCGGTAATCAATTAACACATTGAATGCCACGCTAACTTTGCATGGCTTGCCCGTCAGGCCAAACTACAAACTAAATTGCAAATATTAGACAGATTTTGCTAGTTTTTAAAAGGTTTAGAATTGTATAAGCCTGCAAATTGTTTAGAAATAGTGCAGGATAAAAATCTACTAAATTGAATTTATTAAATCAAGAATCACAATTCATAAACTACCACTTGAAAATATTTATTCGCTGCCGGGAGCAAGTTGGCATCTCTGTGTATATAAATAAAACTATTTTTGTGTGTTCTATATTGCATTAATTTCTTCAAACCATTTTAGTACCGATAATAATATAAAAAAGTTAAAAATTTACTCGAATTATGTGTTTCTAATAATCTTGGCTTTGCCGGTCACCGGTGACCCCCAGGGCATTCAACGTGTTAAGCAATGAGACTTTCAGCTGTTGACGTTGTTTTAAGAATTTATGCTTGCTTTTCTAAAATAATTCCTTTATATTACAGTCACTCGAAAACTTTTTTGTGGTCACTTGAATGTTTTTACCCATTAAAGCTTAAACTACTTATAGCAATAAAATAAATAATTATCATTAAAGTCTCATTTTAAACAATTAAATAAAATAAATTGTTATTTATCTGGGTGAATTAGTGATTAACCTAATCACCAGTTTCTAAGAAATTTTTAAATTTCAAAGAAGTTTTTCATTGAACATTGTAAGACTTTAACCCCTTGGNAATAAATTGTTATTTATCTGGGTGAATTAGTGATTAACCTAATCACCAGTTTCTAAGAAATTTTTAAATTTCAAAGAAGTTTTTCATTGAACATTGTAAGACTTTAAGTCAGCAATAATTTTTTTAAAAAAATAGCTTTTCATTCAGAATCATAAAAAATTTGATTAGACACGTTTTCGGGAACAGAAAACCTTTAGTAAATGATTATTTAATACAAAAACCCTTTTTTCCTTACGTGCAGCTCCATGTGGCTCATCAGTCCTGCAGTCTGAACAGGCTCCTAAATTCTTGATGTCTCCTAATTTTCCAAGTCAGTATCCAGTAAACCTTCAATGCAAATGGGTGTTCATTAGAAATGATAGTCATGTACCGATTCCAGAAAAAGGAAATTATAAAATGAAAGTTCATATTAAGTTCATAGACTTTGACATACCTTGTGGTGGTGACTACTTGAATTTTCAAATGGTAATAATGCTAAATTCGAACATTCTTTTTATATTCTAATTTATTTCTCTATTTATTGGAAAAGATATGTTTTTTTTTACTTAGATTTATGAAGAATTTGCAGTAATAAGTTGTATAGATAATAAGTAATATAAGTAATATGGCTGATTGATACGAATTTTGCGCCCAACTCACACTCAGGGCTAAAGAGAATAGAAGGGCTGGTTCACTCCTTTGAAGTATCTCTTGCCGCGCCGATCCTCTGACGTCACTCTAGTGACATCACTTTGGCGCAAAGCTCGCACTTTTACTTCAAGAACGGAGCGTTTGGCCTTACTAGCTCTAACTAATATTGGATCATTTCTTTTTGCGAGATATTCTAAGACATTTGTTATTTTCTATAATGACTTTCCTCAGTTTTTGCAGTGAATTTACAAGAATTTAAAACTATTATCGAAATG